CTGCGGGGCTTGCTGAGTGACTTTTAATGGTCACAGTCATTCTTTATCTAGAGGCTTCTACTAATTTTTAATGTGTTTCTGATATTAATTCTATTAATTCACACACGCCCCTGACCAAACCAAGTTCTATGAAACTTATCACATCTCTGCAATCAGATTACACTTTGAACAAGAGATGTAACCTAAATATTCTTTTAAACAGTCTTATGCTTCCAATTGTATATATACTTTTTGAATTTTTTTCAGAAAGCCATCACTGAAAATGCAATAATGATGATGGTGGTGGTGATTATAATATTTTACATATTTTATGTATTTCACAATAACTCTGTGAAGTTGGTAATACTGTTATTCCCATTTTATAGATGAAGAAACTAAGGCACATAAAGGTTATGTAATTTTCCCAAGATTCCCACCTAGTAAGTAAAGCATCTAGACTAGAACTCAAGCACCATGGTTATAGGGAACTTACTTTTAACCATGATACCAAAACCAGACAAACAAAGCCAACCAATTGAAACATTATTTTCTAATTTAGAGTTCTTCAACTTGTATGAATCTCATTATTTTGAACTTCACCAAATTAAAATAGTAAAATGAATACTACTATGATCCTTGTCACTTTGAGGCTTGAATTCGTATAACAAATCTTATAGACTATTACTATACCCTCCGGGCACTGTATGAACAATGCCATTAACAGTTACCACATAAACAATGATGCCACGAGGTATTTGGACCAAACATCCAGGCTTTCCTCATGTATGGATACAAAATACAAAATAAAAGGGCATTTTCTATAAACTCTAGGAGAAGTCTGTGTAACCAGTCTAGAATAACATGTTCCAATAATCCTGTGTTAGCTTCCAAATTCTCACAAAGAACATATTTGATAATTTTTCAGGAGTTAGTTATTCCAGTAATTAAGTTACTGGTTCTCATTCTATGTTTTCCCTCTTAAAACATAATGGAACCTTCTATTTTTTCCAGGATTCTGATACCTCTCCTTCAATTCTCCAAGAATCTTCAAAAATCACAGACAGGGACATTGGGAATTCAACTTCAAGGTTTTTATTTTTATAAATTATTTTTTAATCCTCACTCAATGATAAGTTTTTATTAATTTTTAGAGAGAGAAGAAGGGAGAGTGAGAGAGAGAGAGGGGAACATAAAATGCAAGAGAGAAACATTGTTCCCCAACCAGGGATCGAACCAGTAGCCTTTGATGTAGGGGCCGATGCTCCTACTAACTAAGCCACTGGGCCAGGGCTCAGCTAAAGGGTTTTTACAAGTTAACCATTTTGAAAACAATATACATTGCCATGTTTCCATTCTCATACAAGGGAGGAAGATTCCTATTCTAGTCACCTAAACCAATATTTAAGAAAAAATCTTGGGCTATCTATCTACCTATTTATCTAATCTCAGAAGAGCCCTTTGAAATTTGGGGGCAGCTGGGACAATGTTTGGATTTGCCATGCAAATGTATTCAGTGATAGCAGGAACTACAGATAAAATGCAAGGCTTCTACTAAAACAGGGTCCCGCATTGGAGATTCAAAACACTAAGCTGGAGGTATAGGGATTCATAACGGACGTACTGAGGTCATCGAATACATTCAGTAACAGATTAATTTGACCTCCAAACCTAATTTCAATTAAGATTTATATAAAGGTGTATGTGTGTATGTATACAGATATATAGTGAATATTACTTTATGTTCCCAACCTTTCATAGAAGTAAAATATTCTTTGACATTTCTTAGAAAAAGATTTTCCTGGTATGAAATTTTAGGATGGTGTTATTTAATCATCTCACCAAATCTCTCGCTGTGGAAGCCAGGCACTAGACATAACTCACACGTTCCTTTGCAAAAAGCTAGTGAGAGTAATTTTCTCCCTAGTACTTATTTCCATGTCCTCTGTTCCGCTAAGGGTAACTTTATTGTTTAATCTTTGGTTTTACAGGGACATTTTCAGATTTAATCTATAGTGTTCATGTTGAAGAGTCTGATAAAGGGAAATCTGTAACCAGCTCAGTGCTCGAGATGTAAAGATTTATTCAAAGCAGCAGACTTTTCAGAGTTTTACGCTGTTTGGTGGAAGGACTATTAAAGTCTGAACTCAAAGTCGAAGTAGCTCACGGCTCACTCCTAGAAAACTTCTCGATGTTTGAGCATCATGTTTCCAGAAGAGCGGAGGAGATCAGAGCAGCGAAGGTAGCTAAGCTGGGCAAGGAAACAGTGGTGTCTGAACGGCTGAGTTCATGAAAGAAGGTGGCGAGAGTCAGGGGCTGTAGAGGGAGGCCAATGGGTTAGACTTGATGGACTGTAAGAGGGGGAGGAGAGGGGCTCAAGGAGGCTGAAAACGAGAAGAAATGGACTGAAACAGAGACATCATTTGAAAAAAAGTTGAATGAAAAGAAAAGAGGAAATGACATGTTTCAGACAAGAGGTTCTGGCCCAGGAAGGGACTTATGAATGTGGCATATGAATAAAACCATGTCAGGAAAAAATTTAGTAACTGCCAATGGCTAGGGTAGCATTTTAATTTTTTTAATTAATGTTTCTGATTATTCAAAATCCCTTCAAAAACCAGGCATAAAAAATATTTTAAGAATTAAAAACCAGGCATACTCCTACCAGGAAGCCTTGCAGCCTTAGCTCTTACTCAGAGTGTTTCTCAGGGTTCTAGTCCACACACATCCAGCCTCCACTGACTTCAGGCAGATGCCCCAGAGGCTTTGCCGGTCCAGTATCTGCCAGTGCTTTTCCCAGGTACACACAAGTGTAGCTACCAGGCTCCAAGGCTTGAAGATGCCGAGCTCCAAGAACGTGAGCCTTGTGGCAACCCCACTCCAGCCTACTACAGTTGTCTACTAACTCACATTTGCAGAAAGTCAAAAAGCTCTGTGGCTCCGTAATCATCTCTTCATGCACTTACTACCCTAGTGAGTGAAATCTCCTTCTTAGCAGGAACTATCTATCCTCTATAAATCAATTATTTAGTCACTAATGGTTATTACCGAGGCTCTGGTCAGCATGAAGAAGTGTACAAATCACTGAAAAATAAACTACTCAGAGGGGAGTGCACAGAACAGGGATTCTGGCTATCATTTGAATTGGAGTGGTGTTCATCATCAGTCTGTGCTGGGAATCCAAGAGTCCAACAAATCTTTCTCAAAACCACAGTTACTTTGAGGTAAACATTTTGCATGGGGACATTTAGAGGGTCTTTGGGATTTTTAATGCCAGAATCAGTCCATTGCTGTTGCACAGATCAGCCCCTTCTTCAGCAAGAAGAAACGATCACAGCTGTGGAAGGGCAGGGTATGGAAGCGATGATCATAGCGGCTCCTTTTTCTCTCATATTAGCAGGAAATGCAGGCCAAGTCCCTGCTATACTTTCAGAAGGCCGTGCAAAACTGCAAAACTACTGCTTTGCAGTCAGTCGAGGAAAGGGGACATCTGACAGTTTTGCTTGGGAATGTAAGATATCATAATGGAGCAGTATAGTAGCAAGAATTTCCATCTCTCACACTGTTTCCTCATTAAACATTTCCTCCATCAAAGAGTGTGCTGTGGTATCAAAGCTTTTCCTCCATGGACTGAGATCATTCGGTAGAGGAGTTTCAGGAAATCCCAGCTCTTGGGACAATCCAATAAGCTCTCCTGAAATACTTAACACAACTCACCACATGGTAAAGTGTCTAGCAATACCTTCAACAAACTTATTAACCATGCTAAGAAACAGCAATACTTTCCCACAGATTCTGTGGCTACTTTCCCTGTTCCTACTAAATTTGAAAGTAAAATAATTCATTGAAAGCTAGGTTACCATTCTTCAAGCAGAAAGCACAAAATAATTAGTTGAAAGATTTCCACCGCCACAGACTACCTGAGCCCAGGAGCAATGATACTACCCAAATTGTCAGGTTCGAGAAGAAATAAGAGCTGACTGACTATGGACAGTAGCCAACGAGACAAAGGCAGAGGGCTTTAATTAACACAGCCTGGAAAGGAGGGCCTGTGGCACTGTGGCCTAGGGTTGGAGGCAGAATTTTCTGGAAACAAATGGCTTGATTTGAGAAGTACAGACCTGCATGACTTCTAACACCATCAAGGTGTCATCCAGAATCCTAAACCTCTGTTTAATGAAAAAAATCACAGAGGGGGCCACTGCTTGAGATCGTTTGACATATAGGCAGTTCCTAAAAGGAAACAAAATCCCAAACTCCCTCTTGGCCGGTAAGTACTTTGAAGACAAAAATTGCTGATTTTTTTTCCTTTTTTAATTACAATTTACATTCAATTTCTTTTTTCCTCTAATCACTTTGGTTCTATTTTTAGAGTCTTTGACTCATAAAGAAAAGCTTTTTAAGTCTAGAGTGGCTTTTTAAGTTGGTGGAGTTTAGTTCATTCATAAAAGCAAGTAAGCAAGATGCAAGGTATTCACTAAATTTTCAAGAGGCAGAACCTGGATGTTTGGATCCCAAATGCAATCTCCTCTAAAATTCACATTGGGGAAAAAAAAATGCCATTTAAAGTCTAGGTTAGCTGGAAAGAAAAGAGTTCCTAAAGAGGGTAAGAATGTCCATTTACCACTTTCTGGCTTCTCAGTAATTTTCTTAGGGAAAAAAATGACAAATGGCAAAAACGTATTTCACATGTTCCAGTCATTCCTCTTGACCAGAGGCAGGCAGAGCAATCAGCACATCTGAAAACCAAACCGGGAGGTGACATTTTCGTTGTCCAAAAATGTCTTTGGAAAGCAGGAACATAGACAGGGAGAGTCGCACACGAGTGCCCTCTTGCTCATGGCAACCTGCGGTGGCTTGGACGGCCAGGTCGCCGTCCGTTGGGAAAGAATGATCACGCACGTGGTAATGGAGTTAATGCAGTAAAGCCAATATAAACACGAATGTTTTGTCTTCTGACAGCATATGAATGTGCAAGCCTTAAGTTATAGGAGAAAAGGGGCTAATTTTAGATTTGTTCCTAGCCCTCTCCATGTGAATGGTGTCGCTGTGAGCCCAGCAATGAAGTTCACTGTGTTGTAGCAGACTGCGCAGTTCCTGAGTGTGTCAACCCAGTCTATGAACCAGAACAATGTTGTCCTGTCTGCAAAAATGGTAAGACCACGCTGCCTTAGCTTTCCAAGAGGGGTTAGTGCCAAACACAGGCGTTTCACCACTGCACACCATTCGCCGCAAGAGCCCTCTGAGACCCACCTCTGGTTTTTCAATGTGGGCATGGCCAGTTTATAGCTTTATCCCACCCTAGGGTGAAAATAAGCCAGCAATGGGTGAATCGTGAAGCTTTCAGTCTGGGGAACTGCAGCTCCTATGCGCTGACTTTGTTGTGACGCCTGTAACTTATTGTTGATTTACAAGGAGGAGGTCGGAAAGAAGAAGCACCATCTTCTCGTAGTGACTGAATTTCTTCTCTCTCGTGGGTGCTATGAAGCAGTTTGCCTCGTTTCATAGTGCATAACCCAGACGAGAGAGGAAAAACGCCAGGTATTTTGCTTGGGGCATAGATAAGACTTTAGGTTTAAAGTTAAAGAAATACAGGATTCAATTATTAATGCACTTAAGTTGACGTAAGAAAAGACTAGAAAGTTTAAGGCTTTTATTCTAGGTCTTTATCACAATGGAGTCTTGCTCTCATAGTAATTGTTATAGAGGGGGTTTTGGTTTATAAGATCACGGGTTTCGGGGTAGCCCTCATCAATGGAGAGGCAGAAATGAAAGCAGTATGCTAATCACCCCAAATCAAGGTGACGCTGCAGAGCAGACGATGCAAGGCCATAGCCCCAGAAGAGCATGTCAGCAGAGCCAGTATCGTGCTCTTCCTACTGGTCATGTACTATCAAAACATAAAGCTCTGCTCGGTAACACTCCCCGGATGCCCCCTCTTGGCATTAACATCTGCTTGAAAAAGTAATTCTAGCTCTTAATTAGGCTGAGGTCACTGTAGTGCCGAATCCCTGTGCCCTCTCTTGAGCTAGCAGCGCTCATCTTCCTCCATTACACGTTTTTTGGTCTTTTTTGGGGGGGCCTGAATTGGGCATAATGTTAGCTCACATACTTGTCTTTTACTTTGAAGAAGTATAATTGGTAAAGAGGGGTATCAGGTTATTTAGTTAAAGAAAATTCAAAAGCAGCTCTGATTATTTTTAATCATAATTTTATGTTTTAGTATCTTCCCAAAGGACTTATGAAGAATCCTATGACATTTTTCCAGACACAGTTTTTACTCTTCCTGATCATATAAATCTAATAAGTTGACTATTAAACTGCTCACCTGGCTTCTCTTTTTCTTTTCCCTATCGCCCAACTGACCTGTCACAGTGGCCATCTCTCTGACTTAGAATGTGGAAATCAATATTATCCTGAAGTTCTAATCTATATAATATAGGCAAAGATGTAAAATTTAAGACTTTATGTATTTAAAAAGGATTTTGAAGAAACTGGAAAAGGTACAGGAAGAACCATAAGATGATTTAATGGTTGAAAAATAGGACCTATGAGGACAGGCTGAAGGAGTTAGCATAATTTGTCCTGGAAAAGAGAAAGCTCAAGGGAAACCTAACTGTCATAAAGCATATGAATGGTTAGTCTAAAGTGGAAGAGGACCTGTTATTTTTCATTTTCTCCAAGGACAGAAGGAAGAAAAAATCAGCTACCTAATCAATCTTTAAAATTAGGATTGACACGTCTTTGACTGAACACTGGTGTGTTTTTTTCTAGAAGCAACTGTCTAAATAGGTCCTTAAGGATCCTCTCCTCCTTAAGTGGCCTTGGTCGGCTTTGTTTTTACATGTAGGGTATGCGAAATTATGCTCACAGTTAAAATCTCTTGTCTGGACATCCTCAGGATATTCACAGAATTAAAGCATACGAGATCATGTATTCAAAATAGAGGTTTTATGTGTGAATCTGCCACATCAGCCCAGCCACCCCACACCAAAGCCTATGATATGCCCAGAGTGAATCTCAATGTCAGACGTTAATGCAGCCACTACAAGCTAGTCACTTAATAACTGATGTCACCAAGATTATCCTATTTTGCTCTAACATGTGCCAGAGTAGGAATTTGTTTTCAAATGAAACCCTCTTTGTTCAATTAATTAATTCATTAGTAATCCTGTTGATAGAACAAGGTGTATTAGTAAAGTTTTCCAAATTGTTGTTCATGAAGCACAACAAAATGACCACTTCTGTTCTCTTTTGCCATTTCCAAGCAAACGTTTTTCCTTTTTAAATTAGGGAAATGGACCTTAATTAGAGTTAGTAGAAACAGTGTTATTGTACTATAACATTATGATATCTTTTTTTTATTATTAAATTCTAGTAATTAGTCAGTTGTGCCCCAAAGTATGGTATAATCATTACCAAGAAGAGCATATTAAGGCCCACTAGAGAATCCTTATGGTCACCAGGGTTGCCAGCGTTTTAGTGAGACAACAGACTGAGCCCAAGTCTTGCTTGCCCTCAGCCCTCATTGGAAGTCTAGCCCAGAAAACAGCAACAGATCGCCCATGTAAAGAAAAAGTGAAGGGAAATAGATGTGTACTATACAAAATATAACTAGGACACTTTCCTAAATTTCCAACACACGATAACCCTGTCTTATTCTATATGACAAGATAAATTTGGCCATTATAATGTAAACTGTTTTAAAAGTATGCTACTATTTTCTTATATTAAAAAAAAAACACAACAAGATTAAAAATCTACCCTGTAGAATCAAGCTAGATGCACTAGATCTTAATTAGTAAACAGTCCTGTAACATTTTATACATTTTTAAATCTTCATAAATATTAAAAAATTTCAGTTTGCATAAATGCTGATTATCTTGGCTGGCAAATACTTTCCTTTTGCATACTAGATTTTTCTGCCTTCCTGAATTACAATTTGCAAAGAGCAAGAGGCATTAAAGATACAAAATGAAAGTTTAGAGCGATAGAACCTACCACACGTAATATTAAAACACAGTATTCAGCAAATATCAAAGTCTTTCTTCTCAGATTATTTAAGAACAAACAAAGCAAAGAAGTTTAATGATGTGTAGTTTTTCAGGAAAAAGTAGTCACCAATGAAAATGTAACAATTATCTTTAGATACAAGGATTTTTACAATATTATAAAGTACAAGGTAGTATGTTCCCTAGATAAACAATGATAGCTCATCTTTACTCTACATAATGTAATTCTTATGAATAAATTTAAATACATATACTTGTAAAGTTTTTCTCATAGGGTGTTTAAAAAAAAAAAAGAAAGGAAAAACTTTAATTTCCTTGTTTCAATAATTACCTCAAGCAAAGTTTTCAATGGTTATCAATGAACATAGCCAAGCCATAAAACATAGTCCATTAAAGTTACTTTAGCACCAAATAAAGATTCTCCATTTATTCTGAATAAAATAGAAACATTAAGGAAAGATTTGAATGGCTGGGCACACACAAACCAAGAGGGACAAGAGGAGAGGGATTATTTATCTGGGGAGTATTCGGGGGATTAACATAGGAACATGAGAATGTATTGTTTTTAAGAGTATTATCAAGCACTTGCATCTCCCTCCTTTGTACATCTGCAAGAGCTAGTAATCCAAACGCCTCCTGAAACATAAGACATTTCCAGACTGGTTTTCTTTCCCCAAGATGGTATTACTTTGACCTATCTTTCCACCCCAATCCTTTCCATGTGAATTAATGAATACTCTTCATGTGTTTTTTGTTTGTTTTTATAGCATAAAAAGAAAAATAGGTTAGCATAGCATCTGCTTGAAGAAAATGTTCTACACTGGAGTATCCTATAAACATTTCAGATATTTGGTAACTGATCATGCCTTTGACTACTGAAATATATGATCATGAGAGCACCCAAACTACAAGCTGCATGTTTTTACATTTCATCAGCCAGTATGTCAGTGAGTTCTACATTTTCGCTGGAATATATATTCAGTCATTATTCATGGTTCTGAAGGAAAAGTCACTTTATGAAAAATTGGGATAGACAGGAAACACCCACAAAATCCTCCATACACACTAAGTGAGGCATTTTCATATCCTTTCTAACTAAACTAAAGTTGTCATAAGCCCTGTTCAAATATTTAATTCCATATCCCTTATGCTCTTCTAGTTTATGAGTGAAACAAATAAGGCAGGAAACAGACCAGCCAGAAGGGCAAATGGAAAGAAGACAATAGCGGGATGGGCAGAGCACCGATAGGGGAGAGGGGACTTCAGAAGCATCCAAAGCCCCTAGAGGTACTTGGGAGAAAAGGCTCGACACAGGTAATTGCTAGTATCCCTAATACACGAGGAACCCCTTGAAATAAGAGAAAAGCAGTTCCACAGGGAGGAAGGAAATGAGCAAATGGCATACAAAGGAAATTCACAGAAGAAAACCAAATGTCTAGTAAATATATGACAATTTGCTTAAACTCACAAGGGATCAAGAAGATAAAAATTAAAGAGATACCACTATTGTAATGATAATATGTGAGATGGTGATACCTCAAGTTGGCAAAAGTATTAAGGCCTGAGAATGTTAGAACAACTTTTAAGACAGTTCTTTCCATCACCATTTTCATGTAACTTGGGGGAAGGCAGCAGTTCCGTGTCTTGTACTTTGTCCCACATTCACATGCTCAGTTTTCACTGCATTTTAGGAGTGAAAGGTGAGAGAGAATGTAATAGCCTTTCCATGGGTAGTGAAATACATTTCAACCTTTAAAAAGGCCTTACTGACATTTTTTACTGCTGTGTAAAATAAGCAAGCAGTATATAGTGGACTACGCATTATTTTATGCATAATATAATAACGTAGCCTGTCTATAATACATGCATTTTAAGGAATACATATTTTAAAATATTTTATTGTAAACTAATATTAAATTTGTATGTACATAGGAAAAGAGCTAAATGGATACACAATAGAACATTAACAATACTTGCAAGGAGTAGAAATGAGAAGGTAAAGGGAGGGGAGACGAGATAATCTCTTTAAAACTTTAAATCCTTACAAATTGATGTTAATAAAAACTACAGAAATGTATACAAACAGAGCTCACAAACAAAATACAAATGTTTCAAATGCATGAAACACCTCACTAATAAATT